CTTCGACTCAACCGTAACTCTAGCCAATCTTCGTCACATCGGATCTTCAGGGTGAGCTAATGCTTCTAGCTTGGACTAGATCTTCTTCTTCAAGTCTTGATGCCTTGAACTTCCGGCATGGACTAGCTTCTTATGTATTTTTAGCTTTTAGAATACTCTTAGTTTAGTCATTTGATTGTAGATGTTCTTGTGGTGATGACTTCCAGGTTTTGGGAATAATAGATGTTGAGTATTGATAGTTATTGAATTGGTTTTTATTAATGAGTTTAAGTCTTCCGCATTACTTTATGTTTATATTATATTGAAATGTTAAGGTTAGATTGGTTGGTTCGCTCACATAGGAGGGTAAGTGTGGGTGCCAGTCGCAACCTGGTTTGGGTCGTGACATGAATACACTATGAATATTCAAGGACCTTCCATATATAACAATGAAATTCTAAGGTCTTCAAAGGAGATTATCCACATATCTCTAGAACCTTCCACTATAAATTAGCATTTTTCCTACGTAAACCCTCTACTTAGACAACTTTATGCCATGTGGAGTCTATCTAGCGTGATAATGTGACGGGTCAACATAAGGAATCCTCGTAATATAACACGCAATCATTTTCATAACTATCAATTCTCATTGACGATAGTCTTAACTTATACACCAACTTCTCTGCCTTATAAAAAATCATTAGGTAAGTCTATATTTAGATCAACTAAGTCATGTATAAGGTCAATCATAAAGTGGAGTAATCCAATCCAATTTGATAATAATCTAAAAACAATACTCAAGCACAAGTGCAGACTCCTTTCATATAAAGAAGGGCTAGCAGCTTATAAAAATCAAGATATATCAACAGGAGCTTCTTCAACATGATCACCTAATTCAAAATCGGAATGCATCTCATAAGCATCATGAACTAGGTAATCCCATACCTTAATAATACCGTTTATTTGATGCATAGTAGCATACTGATGTGAAACAAGACTTTACTAGTGAATGTAAAAATTCTAGGAATCAAGAATAGTTTCAATGAATCGTCCTAGAGAAATGAACGAAGACCCACCTTCCGTCAATGCATTCCTGCAAATCTCTCCCATCTCCTTCACTCTCTTCCTCAGGGGGTTTTCTCTGTCCATTATGCGTCTTATTGCTTTGTCCATCTCCTCTGCCTTCACAATTTCGCTATGATCACTATCGCGCATCCTGTAATTCATTGTCAGCTCGACTGCCACCTCCAGATCATTCACCAATTGAAATGCGTTAATGTGTTGTTCTGCATAAAGGGGCCATGCCACAATTGGTACTCCATGCCATACACTCTCTATGGTCGAGTTCCATCCACAATGAGATACAAATGCTCCGGTGGCTTTGTGAGCCAAGATATCGACTTGGGGTGCCCATCCACATACTATTCCTCTGTTTTTTGTCCTCTCCAAGAACCCTTCCGGCAATATTTCCTCTAACTTGGTAGTTTCAGCATCCACAGGCAGATGTATTGACCACAAGAACCTAACCCCACTTTGTTCAAGTCCAATTGCCATCTGGATAAGCTGTGGTTCCTCAAAAATACCCGCGCTTCCAAAGCACAGAAAAAGAACAGAGGAAGGTGGCTGCTGGTCTAGCCATTTCATGATTTCTTCATCTTCAGACTTTGAATTCCCGTTACTATTTTGTGCCTCAAAGTTGAGAAGAAATCCTGCTGTGTATACTGGAGGTAATTCAGGATCAGATGCTAAGCTATTGACAGCGTAACTTTCGAATTCCTCCACTGTGTTGATGATAATTCCTTTGGTTTCTTTGAACCTGACACCATGGTTGCGGAATGAGTCGTAACCATACTTGACAAATGCAAAAGAAGGCAAGAACTTTGAGGGTACTGGATGAGCGTAGGCTGCTATATTTAAATCGCCATCAAATCGATTAAATTCTCTCCCAAATTGGTCATGCCAAACGGACAAGTAAAACAGGAAACCAAGAAAAGCAGCACCAGAAGTGAAGAAAAGATAAGGAGGAATGTCAAGTTCATTTGCTACATCAATCATTGAAGTGCAAAACATATCAATGACTAATCCAACAATTTTCGGGTTCGAATCAGTAGCAGGCCATGCCTTGTTGCTGATAATTGCATCCTTAACAATGGGTCGATAACTTGCTATCAAAAGAGAGATGTAGTTCTCAATAGACTTTGCTAGTTCTTCTAAAGATGGCAGTTCGATTTGAGCAAGTATGATATATCTAATTCGATTGCCCTCAGGAGCAGAGGAGATTCGTTCGATGAAGGCATCTAGGGTAGAACCCCATGGTGGTGGTGGCCTTATAATGAGAATCGTTACACATAGCCTTTCATCTCTATCAACCAACTTCTCAGCAAACTTGCAAAACGGAACAAGGTGACCGATGGATGGGGTAGGCACAAATACCAGCTCAAATTGACTCATCTTTGAACTATTTAACTAATTAATCAGAAGATGAAAAATGTTTGATGCAATAACAATGGATTTGGGATGCTTTTGCCTTTTATGATGGACTGATCTGATGTTAATTGGACCACACATTGAGAAACACAAGATATTAGGTAGCTATTTTAATTTATCTATATCTGATTTGTTAGTAAATATAAAAATATAGAAATAAAATACTAGAATATTTTTGAATCTGGTGAACAGTAAGCTATCTGATGGATATATAGTGGAAATTACGAAAAAGACGTTTCTATCTTTTACTAGATTGTTGCCTAATTGAATGAGGATATGGGTGTCTGTACAAGATAGGGAATGCAATTTGTCGTCTACTATTCATTCAACGTGATTTACCAAACACAATATTAGGTGAAGGTTAAAAAATGTCAATACGTAATGTTTTCATTTTTCAAATAATGTTAACTATTCATAGATGATTTCAAGCCAAGATTGGTTAAATTTTATAGAGAGAAAAAAAATATGTAAGATAATTATATACAAACGTAAATAAAATAAAATTTTATTATATAAAAAATAATATTCTTGAATGAAACTTGACCAAACTTATCATATTGTTACCCTATTGAATGGGGTATGGGTATATATATAAACATTAGTGTACTTTAAAAGGGTATATTCGTACCCATATGGATACACTACTATTTATAATAATGCAATATTATGATGTCCACGTTGACACATAGATACCTTTGAAAATATAATATTATATTAGTACTGGAGTAAAATGTACTTTCCAAAATTTGGTATTGTTATAGCAATATCAATCGAAATTCAGATATATTTCAGATTTTTTTTAATTGTTATGATTTATAATACATTTTATGTAATATTATTTATATTTATTAAATGTTTTTTGTAAAATCTTAAATATTTGGGGTAGTTAAAAACGGTTATAAACTTTAATTTTGAAATTTCAAAAATAAGTCATGTTACTTCATTTATCTCAATTGCGTGATACTGATAAAATTTCTAAATTCAATCAAATTTTACAAAAATTAAATCCAAGTGACTAGAAGCAGGGCCCACATATTCTATTAATTAAGTTAACTAACATCAAAAGCAAAGAAGGGGTTGCGAAGGGACTGCGTGTCTTATAAACAAAAAAAAAGTTTATATTATTTAACTACTTATAATATTTATAGTTTGTTATATTATCACTCACTATTTATATTAATTATTAATTATATGAGCTGATTTTGAATTGTACAATTAATCATATTAATATAATTTGTCATATTTATATAATTTGCAACTAGTAATTCTTCTTTTGATTTGTATTCGTATACGATGATTTATATTTGTATATAACAATGATTTACTTTGATTTTTTCGTTTTGTCATCATATATATTTAATTTTTTTGTGTATAATTTTTTCAAAATTTATACAAATGTGTAATTTTCAGATTTTGTACAATAGAATTTGTATAATTGTTTAAAGTTCATATGCTTATGTATGTATCAATTTGTAATTTCTAGTTTTTATTATATTTGTATAATTTCAAACTTTATATTACTCAATCATACAAAAACACAAAAATTATACAAACATAGTCACGAATTATAAAAATCAAATGTGAATTATACAATTTATTATCCTCTCTTGCTCTCCTCTCTTCTCCCTCTCCCAATCTCGTTCGTCTATCTCCTCCCTCTCTCAATCTCGCTTTCCATATATGCAAATGCATATGTACAATATACAATTATCTAACTGATATACATATACAATTTATCTCTCTCACTCTTCATCCTTTCTCGCTCGCCTCTCTCCTCCCTCTCTCAATCTCGCTCGCCTCTCTCCAATTTCGCTGGCCATATATATAAATACATATGTACAATACATAAATATATAACCGATATACACATACGATTCATCTCTCTCCCACTCTCTGCCCTCTCGTTCGCCTCTCTCCTCCCTATAACATGTAGCTACAAATTGTAACTCTCAAGTGTTTGGACTGAAATCATTCTCAGACGGATGAGCTTTGATGAATAAAAGAAAAATTGGTAGAAATTCTCATAGGTGAAGCAAATCAAACCTATTTTCAGACAAAGAAAATAAAAGTATAGCTATGGAGAATAATAATATTATTTTTGAGTGGCTATATGTGAAAGTTATACTAGACACAAGTGTTCGTACTAGCACCGATCCAATATCTATTATTTCTTTGTCTCACTTTATTTAACATAGATAAATTTAGAGAGTCAATTAAATTTTAATATAATTTAAAATTTTTAAATTTGTTAATTATTATAAGTTACAATACTTTTTACATAATTTTAAAATAATATATGTTACTTCTCTTGTCTAAATATATGTAGCACAGATAAAATTTAAAGAGTCAATATTTGTTAATTTGAGATTTATAATATCTTTTACGTAGTTTTCAAATTAAATAATAGATGTTACTTTTTTTGTCCCATTTTATGTGATACAAAGAGATTAATTTTATGCTCAATCAAATTTTTTATAAGCAATTGATTTTTTATATGTTTCTATTTAAAAAAAATTAAATTGTCAATTATATAAAAATAAAAAATAAGATAAATAAATTAAAATAGAAAAAAAAACAGACAAATATATATGTTGAAATATGGAACCACACAAGTGAAGCAGACATTTTGACCGCTACATGTGTGGTTATCCACACTAATAGTTGTAAACAAATGTATATTTAAGTGTGGGACAGATGAGGCAGACCTGTATGTGTGAATACACACATGAGGGGGCGGATCCATATTCAGTCGTGTGGGCGCCACGACATCCAACGAACTCGGTTGAATTTTCTTTTTGGTATGTACATGTCTTAGATATTTCAAAATTTGGGTGAGTCTTTACTTGGGTGGATTATTTTAATTTAATTTTTTTAAAAAAAAATTAATTTTTTTCATTAAAAATTAATGACATGGTCAAATTATAATTGATCACGTGTCAAAAATAGTTTGCAAAATCAGTGTTAAAAATAACGACATAAATGAGTCTTTTCTTAAACGGCAATGGCATAGATGAGCTAAACTTTTAACGGATGACATAAGTGAGCCTTTTCTAAAAGTTCAATGACATATTTGAGCCTTTTCCCAATAAATAATAGGATAGTATTCTTGTTTTTTAAAATTTAAATAATTAATAGTATTTAAAAAATTCGCGTCCTTTGCACTAAAATGGATATATAATTGAAAGAAATAAGACAAGGCTATAATCTGCACATTTATTTCTCAATTTTACAATTTTAAAATTTATTTTGTTAGAATAATTTTTAGACATTCAGTTTTTATGCTATAAATAATGAGGTTGAGGAAAGATAGTTAAAAATAGAGAAAATGCATAAATATCCCCTTAGACTATAATCGAAATTTCAGAGACACACCTTAATTAAACTAAGATTAAATTTATTTTTTAAAAATAATTGTATACTTTTTGTCTTACGTGGCACACTCTGTGACTCCACACAATTGTGGCGCGTGAGAGATATTAGGATGTCACGTGAGCCCAAAAGGTGCATAAAATTACAAAAAAAAAAGGTTAGTTCGGGAGGACAATAGGACCTTAATTTAGTTAATGTGTGTTTCTGAAATTTCAGTAATAGTCTAAGGGGGTGCTTGTGTATTTTCCCTTAAAAATATATTTCCACAAAAAAAAATACACACATCACATTACCCTTGTTGACATCCAATTTTGGCCTAACATTTTCAAAATTCATGAATTTATTTATTTAATAGTTCAAAATAATTTTTTAAAATAATTTTAAATAAATTTCTCGATAACTATCCTTATTTATCAAAATTTAAAATTTTTTATTAGTTAATTTTAAAATTACATTTTTACATGTCATTAGTTACGTTCATTATGTTTTTTTTATAATCATCTTCTTTGTTACATCAGTTAATAATTTATTTTGATATTTTGCACAGTTTAAAAATTCATTCAAATAAAAATATAATTTTCATACACAAATATTTTATTGACCAACAATTTTTGGGCCACTATCACAAGTCCATAACTTGGGCCTATTTTTAACAATTATATATATACATATATATATATATATATATATATATATATATCTTTTTGACATTGGGAGAAACAATGTCCAAATAGAAAAACCCTAATTTTTCCCTCTCCCATTCCCTCCCGGAGCCACCACCCGAAGACCCTTTTCCTTTCACAACCAGTTACAAAGAACACAAGATCACCCCCTTTTTCTCCAGCAACCATCCAAACTAGACGACACAACCCCCATTTCTTTCTTTTCCGTCCAAAGCGCTTCCATCCTCATCTCCAGCAGGCCACGTTCCTCCATTTTCTTCGACCAACAACTATCCAGTAGCTCAAACCACCAGATCCAACGCAGTAGCTCAAACCACCAACACAAACCACCATTGTTCCACATCATAAACTCCATTTTTGGCCAATTTCAACTGATGAAGAAACTATTTTAGTTTCAGGTTGAAGATGGCCGAAAATGGAGTTTGGGAGCTGGAGCAATGGTGGTTTGTGGTGGTGGTTTTAGCTGCTGGGTTCGGTCTGGTGGTTTGAGCTGTTGGGTAGTTGTTGTCGAAGAAAATGGAGGAATGTGATCTGGTGGAGATGGGTTTGGTCATAGAAAGTGGAGTAGCTTGGTCGGGGTTTGTGGTGGTGGCGGCTGAGGAAAAGAAAATAGGAGAGGAAAAAATTAGGGTTTTTTAATTTGAAATTGTTTCTCCCAATGTCAAAAAGATATTATCCACCACCCTCTTAACCTAGCGATCAATTATTATATATACAGAAAATTGTTAAAAATGGACCTAGGTTATCGGCTTGTGATTGTGACCTAAAAATTGTTGGTTAATAAAATATTCGTCTATAAAAATTGTATTCGTATTTGCGTGAATTTTTAAACTGTGCAAAATATCAAAATGTATTATTAACCGATGTAACAAATAAGATGATTAAAAAAAAAATAATGAACGTAACTAATGACATGTAAAAAGAAAAAATTAATTTTAAAATTAACTAATAAAAAATTCTAAATTTTGATAGATAAGGACAGTTATCGATAAACTTATTAAAAATTATTTAAAAAATCATTTTGAACTATTAAATAAATAAAATTACGAATTTTGAAAATGTTAAGCCAAAATCTGGTGTCAATATCCCTTTTTTTATAGAATTATTTGAAAATTATTTTATCAATTGTAAAAATGCATTAATATCATTTAAAAATAAATTAGTAATTTATTTTAACTAATTTATAAATTGGACTTAAAAAAATGTTAAACTTGTTTTCTAAATGCCGACATTGTATATGTTGATGACATGTGTCTATTTTTATTGCTAATTTTAAATTTATAATATATACTTAGTTATATAATATTTAATTATTTATATTCTTAAATTGTGAAATTTTGTGGTGTAGTGACCTTTTTTTCTTTCTCCTATTATACATAGATGAGTAAAATTTACTCGCACTGGATGTTTATATCAAGCTAATACATGCATGTCATATGTTTAAATTTAAAGTTCATTTTATTTCATTAAATTGCGTGATGATAAAAATTACATTAATTTAATATAAATATCCGATGCGAATAAATTATTTCTTATATAGATGTACAACAAATAAATTTTCTTTTTTTAATAAATGTACAACTGATAGATTTTCTTTCCTTTTTATAAATGAAAAACTCAATAGATTTTCTTTCTTTTTTATAAATGTACAACTGATAATTTTCTTTTCTTTTTATAAATGTAGTGTTTTTGGCTAAAATCATTCCTAATGTATGAGAAAAATCTAAAGTTCATCCTTGTGTTATATAAGTGAACAAAAGACATCCCTGAACTATCAAAAAAGTCGCAAAATTCATCCTTTTGTCTATTTTTTTTAAAAGAAACTCATGCCCCACCAAAAAAATCGTTAAGTCGAATGAATATATGTATACATGGTTAAGCTAATCAAGTTAGGTGATTTTTTTTTAATTTTTCAAAATGGAGGATCTAAATTATATTCAGACAACATGTATTCAAATTCTAAATATTCTTTGGAAAAATTAAATACTATTCCAAGTTTAAATTTTTCAAATGAAGTAATTATTTTCTTATTTTAATAACTAAACGCATACGTAATTTTAGCATTTCTGTACATTGTTAAAATGTGAACATTATATATATAGTATATATAGTGGCGGATCCAAGATTTTCATTAACGGGGTTCAGAAAAAAAAGAGTAGTGGTTTGAACCACTAAACCACTAAGTCAACCTCTAATTTTATATTCAAGAGTATCAAAATCAGTATATAAACATAAAAAAATTATTAAATACCTTAAATATACAACTAATTTTTTACCGAGTGGGTACTCTAGGTCTGCCCCTGAATATATACCCCTCAATATTTTACTAAAGAAAGTATCTAAATAGTTGGATATAATATATTTGAAATGATTTTTTACATAATTTTTCTAACCTTTGAAACGTATGGTATGAATATTTCAAAACTTATGTCTTGGTGCAAGTCAATTTACTTGATGATACAAAGAAAAATATTCTATAAACTAACAACACATGAAATTTAAATATAAAATTCATTTCCTATCCATATCCTTATTCTTTTTAGGTAACTATGATGTTTTCGTCGTGGCCAAGACGTGATCAAATTAAAAAATAATAATTTCTTATTGATTCAATCAGTTTCTTAACAATAGGCTGAAGGATGATTGTTGTTATTTTTTTGGATAGTATAAGAAAGTTTTTTGTTCACTTAGATAATATAAGGATGTACATTATATTTGAGTCATAGTTGAGAGATAATTTTAGCCAAAAACTCTATAAATGTACAACTAGTAGATTTTCTTTCTTTTTAATGAATGTCATAGTTTTCTTTTTTTCTATAAATGTACAACTGATAATTTTCTTTTATTTTTATAAATGTACAACTAATAGATTTTTTTCCTTTTTAATAAATATCAATAATTTTTTTCCTTTTATAAATGTACAACTAGTAGATTTTCTCTCCATTTTATAAATGTACAACTCAGAGATTTTCTTTCCTTGTAGAATATATAGAGCAGGTAGAAAGCTCTTAGCAAAATATTCTTGATGAAATATGAGCAAAATAGAGCTGGTATTTGTGCCTACCCCATTCATCGGTCACCTTGTTTCGATTTGCAAGTTTGCAGAGAATTTGGTTAGTAGAGATGAAAGGGTATATGTAACAATTCTCTCACCATGGGATGCTAGCATAGATGCCTACATTAAGCGAAGCTCTGTCTCTACTCCTGAGGGAAGTCGAATTAGATATATCACACTTGCTCAAATCGAACCGCCATCTTCACAAGAACTAGCCAAGTCTTTTGAGAACTACATCTCTCTTTTGATAGCAAGTTATCGACCCATTGTTAAGGATGCAATTATCAGCAACAAGTCATGGTCTGGTACTGATTCGAACCCGAAAATCATTGGACTAGTCATTGATATGTTTTGCACTTCAATGATTGATGTAGCAAATGAACTTGACATTCCTTCCTATTTGTTCTATACTTCTGGTGCCGGTGTTCTTGGTTTCCTGTTTTACTTGTCTGTTTGGCATCAACAATTCGGCAGACAATTTAACCCATCTGATGGTGATTTAAATATCGTAGCATATGTACCACCAAAAGTCTTGCCTACGTTTGCATTTGTCAAGGAAGGTTACGACTCATTCCGCAACCATGGTGCCAGGTACAAAGAAACCAAAGGAATCATCATCAACACAGTTGAGGAATTCGAAAGTCACGCTGTCAATAGCTTAGCATCTGATCCTGAATTACCTCCAGTTTACACAGTAGGATTTCTTCTTGACCTTGAGGCACAAAATGGTAATGGGAATTTTAAGTCAAGAGATGAAGAAATCAAGAAATGGCTAGACCAGCAGCCACCTTCCTCTGTTCTATTTCTGTGCTTTGGAAGCGCGGGTATTTTTGAGCCACCACAGCTTATCGAGATGACAATTGGACTTGAAAGAAGTGGGGTTAGGTTCTTGTGGTCAATACGTCTGCCTGTCGATGCTGAAACTACAAAATTAGAGGAGATATTGCCGGAAGGGTTCTTGGAGAGGACAAAAACAATATGTGAATGGGCACCCCAAGTTGATATCTTGGCTCACAAAGCCACTGGAGCATTCGTATCTCATTGTGGATGGAATTCGATTTTAAAGAGTGTATGGCATGGAGTACCAATTGTGGCATGGCCCCTTTACGCAGAACAACACATTAACGCGTTTCAATTGGTGAGAGATCTTGAGGTGGCAGTGGAGCTGACATTTAATGACAGGATGCACGACAATGATCATCGCAAAATTGTGAAAGCAGAGGAGATGGAGAAAGTTATAAGAAGCACAATGGACAGCGAAAATCCCCAGAGGAAGAGAGTCAAGGAGATGGGAGAGATTTGCAGGAACGCATTGATGGAAGGTGGATCTTCTTTCATTTCTCTAGGTCGATTCGTTCAAAGTATTTTTGATTCCTAGAATTTTAACACTGACTACGTTATTTTAGATAACTTGTTCTCAACAAAACAATTCTAACTAAATCTCCATTACGTTGGGCTCAGGGCTAATCTCTACCTAGTTTCTACAGAAAAGGACTATAATATTGGAAATAAAATTTAAAAAGTTGATTCATACTAGAAACCAGCCTTATAATGTCGATATAATTAAAATACTTTAACTTTTTATATAAACGCAACAAACATGTCGCCTAGTGAAATTTAGGTAAAAAAAAAAAAAATTAATAATATTGAAACCGATTTAAGTTTTTAAAAAATTATACATACTTTATGAGATTGGTAACTTTTAAAAGTTATCTTCTTATTTAAGTTTTTAAAAAATTATACATACTTTATGAGATTGGTAACCTTTAAAAGTTATCTTCTTCGTGCATTCATTATTTGCTTCATACTTTATCCTCAAAGATTGAAAAATTTAATCAACACACATGTTTATTAAGCGAATCACACTATGTTAATGTATTCTTTTGGCTCTAACTCTTTGTTTGTATAGAGTGTGTTAAATACTCGATTTTTTGAATTTTTTACTAAAGTAAATTATTATTAAAATTAATTTATTAAAATAATATATTTTTTGAATTTATATAAAATCAGTATAAACATAGTTCTCATTAATATTTTATTTTAAAAAATTTAATAACGAAAAGACAAAAATATGACAAAGTAAATATAAATAAAATGTTACTGAAAACTACGTTTATATTAGTTTTGTAAAATTTTAAAAAACATACTATCTTAATAAATTGATCGTAATAATGACTTACTTTGATAAAAAATTTAATATTTTTAATCAAAACTTTATAATCCATTGGTTTAAGGGCAAAAAAATCAAACATATTAATTAATTAAAGGTCAAATATGATAAATTTTATAACACATGGATCAAAATCGAAATAAAATAATAACTTAAAGACCAAAATTACTTCTTTGCCAAAAAAACTACATAAACCGAGATAAAAGGGATAATCAAAATTTCAAAAGAAAAAAACTTTTCATGCCCAAGTGTGCTCTAAATTTCCTGATTTATTTAACCTTACCAGATTTTACTTTCTATTATTAATTATAATATATACTTTCAAAATTTCAAGTAAAATATTCTGATATTCTGAATATGAACATAGTCTTGCCACGTGGAGTTATGAGGAATCCTTGTCCCCTAAATGTTGTAACGGCTACTTTCTCTGCTTTTTTAAATTGTTCCTCTGTTTTTCCATTTCATCTGAGAAATTTCTTTCAGACAAACCAATATGAAAAATTATGGATATCCAATGGTGATGGTCATTGAACACTTGCAGTGTTCCATGTCCAATGATCTTCTCTGTAAGTTTCCAGATAACTCCGCTTTCGATTTCGATTATACCCAAAGTTCAATTTGGTCTCCTCTAGTACCAAGACCATTGTCGTCCGCGTCTAACCGGAGGCTCAGCTCTGGTTTATCTCGAAAGCTTTCGTATGACGATGTCTCGTTAGGATGTACCAATTTTAACAAAGTTACAGCAAAAATCAAGAGGAAGTTGTCTAATGCTGTTACAGAGAATATGAGAGAATATCATAGTTTAAAGAAGAGAAAGAAGAAGGAGTTTGAGTTTACTCGTTTACCATCTTCTTCTAAACTCACCTCGACTACTCCAACCCCACGAAAGGTAAAACGAATCTCGAGTCTCGACTCTCTGTTTTTTTATAAAAAAAAAAAAGATTATGAGTAAAGCAGAGTATGTTATTGTGTGCAGGGATGGGTTAAGGTACTGAAAGCGGCTACGAAGCATTTCAAGAAGAAGAAGAACAAGAAGATAGAATCCACAGTTGATGTTAATTTTTGCAAATCATTGACTGAAAACAGTCTTGTGCGAACTTCTACATATCCATAGAAGTTCTTTTACGTACATGGAAGGGGAGATGGCAAGAACAAGAATTTGTTTTGTTCCATTGTAATACTTGAATCACCACTGTAATCAGCAGATGTGAAGCTGAAGAGTGCATTTTTTTTGTTTAAACAGTGTAATGTAGCAATTCTATTATGATTGCTAGAACAAAGATACAGCTGATTGGCTCTGCTCTACGAATTATGATTTCTTAAATCTGAAGTATTTTTTTTTATAGAATTCAAAGGGATTTGAGATTGTTGGTGTATGAGTTGATCACGAGTTGAAGGAATTAGGTCCTTGACTTTGAAAGTAAAGAAACACATGATTTTTACTTGGAAATTTTCTTGCTCAAGAAAGAAAAAAAAGAAATACATCTACCATACAAGTTTTTATTAACATATCCACTTAACACGAGCAACGATTTAGATTACACTTCTATGCAATATAGAGAATTATACTACTTAATTCCACACTATTGTAATAATTCTATTATAAATCAACTAAGCAATATCGGTTTTGCTCACTATATCAGTGTTATTATATTATCATCTACTATTATCAACTACTATCATTGTTGCGCACTATTATCAACTACCGTCATTGTTGCTTACCTTTATCAACTACGTGCCACCCATCCCGACCCCCATGGTCCCACTTACCTATAACAACCATAACCCTCAATCACAATCGCCGATACAGTACTGTCATATCCGGGGAGCACCCCCTAGACGTAACCGGCGTCGTTGTCCTCATCGAGGACTAAAACTAGCCTCCAAGCTTACATCATTACATTCATAGGTTAAAAAGGCAAAAGATATTTAGAACTTTTTAATTACTTCTACCTTGAGGTTTACATAGACCTCTCTCATACACACAATATATATTTAGGGAGTTTACTTAGACTCCTCGGAATAGAAAACACTACATAGGCTTCTACTTTTATTTCACATACATAGTATAGGAACATAGTCTCATAAGAAGTCTATAATATGTCTCATTTTAGAACCATCTAAAACGAATACAACAATTTGGGCTTAACTCATACTTCATTACAACAAAGAGCCTCGTATAGGCTTATATAACAATCGTCTCCAAATAAAAGAAAAGAACTAGACGTCTTATAACTAGAACAACATCAATAGCTTGATAATGACATTGTCATAGGAAAGTGAGGACCCACCGAACATTTGGAAAATGTCCAAGTAGTCATCAATGGACATCAACTAAGCTCAACGGCCGGATCCTACAATTTGCAGTAAATATAAACATGGGTTAGTACACACTTGTACTAAGTATGAGTATATGCACATAAATAAGTAAAATCATGCTAAAGAGGACATTTGTTCAAATCCGTGCCAAAGTACTTTGAAAAACTTTATGCACAATCAAGAACTCATATAATCCAATACTTACATAATCTATAAGTCCAAACCATGTACAACACAAGACCAACATTAACAAGTATAGTTAAGTCAACATGTATATCCACATAATTGAGTACATAATCAAGACAACTCCAACATCAATTCATAACATTAACAAGCATGTATAAAAGTTCATAACATCATAACATAAGCAATATCCTTACCCATAACCCATCATTAAGCCTACAAGTCCAATGACCAAGTAAAGCCCAATGAGCTTACTCAATCAAGCAAACCAAACAAAGGATCATAAGGAACGTCCAACCCAATATAACATAGCATCAACAGTAGTCATCATCACATTTAGCAATATAGACCAATAGCATGTTCATAAATGAAGCTAACAACATATAAGATCATCAACATATAACGTCACTATATTCATAGCATATACATTATAAGAACACAAGAAGAACCTCCTAAGGATCCCTTTAAGGCAAACTAGTGCAAGACATAAATAGAGTCTCTAAGATAAGTCAAACCTCTCAAGTCACCCTTGTTAGTGTATACTCCATTAATTTATTTTACTTTCGAGAACACTTGCCTTAACCGACATAAACCACAAGAGCTAAGTATAAAATTTCGGTGTTATAAAACCTTACACCGATGGAAGGCGGTCTACCGGCGAAAGTAGTACCGAACTGAAATTGCATCTAGGTGGATCCACTAGCTAGTATTCCTGTGATGGCAACATTGTTTATGGAGCTTGGGGGTTGTCATGGAAACATCACTCTATGCCCTTTTTGGACTATGAGACTATCCATCCCATGACAACCATGGTGAACCCTACCCTTTTTGGACTATGAGACTATCCACCCCATGACAACCATGGTGAACCCTACCTTCCCTCCTTGGGAAGGCGTCACCCTCACCTACAAGTTCACTCAGTGCTAAGCTACAGTCCCTTTTGAAATGTCTTTAATGACTTTATTAATGATCATAGAGTAGTTTAGGTCATAGGGTCTATCCTTTATATGATCATCATCATCATAGCTCAATAACAATTGCATAAGTATTTTCCTTTCATTACAATTCATACATGTGAGGTTAACACATTTACATAGTCACATCATAATAAGACACATTGGTAAGTTATGACCATTCTTATAACATTTACATCTTAGCCAACAACTCACAAGCCATAGTCAAGACATTTCAATTCAATATTATACCAACCCTATCAATCTCATCATAAGGTATACTTCAATGTAACTTTATCACTAAACACAAGTAATCATAATTGACGTGAAGGTTAGGATAATAAAGACTTATCCAATCTCCTTCATAAGCCATCATCCATGGTTTAACCATCAAACGTCCAATTCAACCCAATTATGGGTGTAATACCATCACACAATAGTAATTAACACAAAATCTAGGTCAATTGCATCATCAATATCTAAATTAACTTCAATTCATAATCTAGGGTTAGGGTTAGGGGAATAAGGTTCATCGTGAATTCTTTAAGAAATAGATTCAATCCTAAAAACACATTACCCTAGGTAGTCCATGAATGAATTAGAATAGATAAAACAAGTCTAACAACCAATACATTCTTCAATTCTCATCAATTTATAAGCAAGACCCAAGATTTGGAGAAATTGGAAAACGAACATGATCTATATGAAATTGCATCAATTGACCAACAATCTACACTTAATTAGTTGTAAGAATTCACAATCAATCATAGTCAACCATCAATTTGAAGTTTAGAAGAAAACCCATTAGAATTGGAAAACCCCATGGAATTGGGTAATTTAGAAATCAACTTTGAAAGGACCTCTTCGGAAAAGGAATTCCAAAAGTAAAGAACTCATACCTTAATGAAGATTAATCCACGAAATTGAAGTGAAATCCTAGAGAAGTTGATCTTCTTCTTCAAGCTTTCTTCTTCCTTCAATGGAGGTTGAATAGAGAGAGAAAGTAGAGCGGTGAGAACTTTTGGATTTTGACTTTTTGGGGGATTTGATTTGAGGAATAAAATGTGAGAAAACTTATTTAAAATCAATATATAAACCTCCCATGAAATACCCAAAAGACCCCTCACTTAATTTGACCCTTTGATGAAGTCAAACTTGAATTTCAAATTTCAGTTTTTCGTCGAGGAACAAGTCCGCAACGCATAGCTGTTCCAGCATGATTTTCTAAATTAATTTTTGAGACAGTGAAGTCTGCTATCTTCCCGCAACTCAGACTTGAGTTTTTCCTAAAATCCTCCCAAGTCCGCGGCGCGGACTCACTCCTCATATGTGTAATTACTAGCTTCCTTAGGCAGCTTGCTTGGCCAAATTCAAGTCCCTTCATGGACCCCTAGGGCGACCCTTGGAGGGTCATAACTGGATGTTTTTACCCTATATACATGAATTTACCTATCTAAAGTCATTTTACATGTTTTAGACCTCACATACCACTCCTAAACCTTTCCGAAATCTAAGAGCGTTTCACTAGTTCAATTAGACTAACTTTCAGACGTCTCTTGTTATTTTGATTCTTAAACTTTCTAATTGACTTATACACATTATATATGACCTTAAAACAATGTTCTAACCCTTATATACTCCTATTAGGCTCTAGATAAGGTCTTGTACTTTCAAAGTATTACAAGTACTGTGAGTTATCATAATTAATTAGTGAACATATTTGTGCTTTGTGTCATTATATAAAAAAGTTAAGAAAAAAATACATAGCAAGGATATAAGAACTTTTAAAAGTTCATGTATATAAATTTAAAATTGATTTTTTAAAATCAATTAAATCAAATATACACACTTATACTATAATTTCATCCTCACTAAAACATTCAAACCTCGTACCTTCATTTATTATATCAAAATAAACATTTTTCATATTTGAGAATTATTAGTATCGTGTAATTCATTTTCAATATTTGTCGTGCGGATTAATCAAATATAGGTTAAGAATAATTAAATCTATAATATGTTTCTATTTTAGTTTCGATAGACTGATCTCACTCAATATTGCTTCTATATTTAATTTTCATATTAATGTTCACCACCACCTACTATTTGAATTTAATTTTTTTGAAATAATATTATACCCACAAAGCCAAGGAGAGGATACAGAGTTTTATGTCTTGATATCATCAACGTGATAAATAATTAAATCCCTCTCTGCGAAGTGGAGCGGATACGAACCTTAGTTTTGCTTTCTCTTTGAAATTTAAGGGGGAGGGGTAATAAACATTCTTTATTCGACTTTCTATGTGGGACAATCGACTTACCTGCAAATTAGTATAACAATATATGGTAAGAGTAAATGTAGTAAGTAAAAGACTCAGATAATTTTTATACTGGTTCGGAACACCAATGTGGTGCCTATTCCAGTCCCCTTGGGTTACAAGGGTTTCCTTAAGAACTTGTTGAGAACTTGGGTGTTACATGAACCGAATTAAGAGGAGCGCTTGGCTTCTCGAAATTGGTCTCACTAGTTACAATAGATGGAACCAAAAGAGGAATCTCTGATAGTACTGGAGCATCAACAGAGGCCAAAAGAGGATCCCATGACATCTCAGAGCTGGTAACACTAGAATCCATGAGTCCAACAATAGTTTGAGGTGCAGTCGATGTAAACCCATCTTCGTGACTTTTTGCTTTGATCGCATCATTTACCTGTTTGAGGCTTTTATTGATCACATAAGTAAGACCGCTGAGATCTTCTGGGTTCATACGATTGGGAATTTGTTCACCATTCAACAATCCATACATCTGGTTTGTATACTCCATTTTCTTATTTTCCTTCCTTACCTTCTCGATTTCATTCTCAATTTCATTGATTCTTTTCGTAAGTTGCTTTTCTTGTGTTGTAAGATCCTCAAACTTTGAGAACACCTCAGCTTTTTTGTGGTAAGGGCTATCGATGAAGGTAGCCAATTCAACATCGCAAGGGGTGTTGAGTTCACGAGCCTTGATTACGAATTCTTTTTGACGTTTTCTATATGAGACTCTCCTCTCAGTGTTATTTTCGATGAAAGCCAACTTCACTTTCTTTTTAACCATGGTTTAAATTAGGAAGAGGGGGAGAAATGTGTTTACTAGGATATGAGGATGAAACGAATTTATTATTCTTATTGTTGTTGTGTGTTTCTTTGCTAAGAACGACCTCCTATTTATAGGGTACAAATAATTTGTATTAGAGAATACTTAGGCATAAAAATAAATGAAGGTGGATTTGATATAAATTTATGTTTGACTCAAACTATTCTTAATAGGAAAAAATTTAATTGATATGTAGATATAAGTAAGTATTATCTATAAAAAGAAATGGCCATAGAGTATTAATTAACAAATGTTTTTTTAGAGAAGTATTGAAAAATTATATATATTAATTTATGTATGTAAAACATAAATATTGAAACAAGTGAAAAATTGAAATATTGGCCAAAAAAGTTGAAATATTGATTTTAAAAATATTTAAATAATACAATACAAATTAATTTAGTGATGTAACGACCTATTTAGTTGTTTTGAGCAGCAGATTTTATTTCTGGAAAAACAGGCTGAGGCGACGAAACCCACGACGGACCGTCGAGGGGTCTCGTTTCAAAACACTTAGAAATTCTGAAAAATGGGTACGGAAATCGACTCTCTGAACTCCGTAACGGAATGGCAGAACGGACCGTCACAGGCGTGACGGACCGTCACAGACTCTTCAGATAATTAAGTCTCTGAACTCTGTGAAGGAGCAGCAGGACGGACCGTCGCAGGCACGACGGCCCATCACAGGCTGCGTAATCCCAGGCGGAGTCGAATTTCTTTAAGGTTTTAAGGGACGTTTTTGACTATTCCGGCTTTAATTATAAAGTTAGTGGGTTAATGTTAATAAGTCTAATTACTTGGGGGTTAAAAAAGGTAACCTTGAGTAAATTAGTGGGTTATTATTGCCATCTTTTATTCTTAATTATATGCTAATTAAGGTAAAAGAAAGAGGGTTTGAATAAAGAAAATAGAAAGAACAAGAAGAGAGAGAGAGCATCGATCGAGAAGGGGAAAAACACAAAGCTTTGGGAAATTTGCTTGCTTGATCACTAATCTTCGGTGGAGGTAGGTTATGGTTTTATACTATTCGTAGTTAACTCTTAATAGCGAATGATATGTGTTGGGTGTACTGTAAGTCTTCTATATGCTTAATTGTATGCTTGCATGAATGTGATTATATAATTGTGATAAAATAAGCATGATGAAGCTATTGAATCCCAAATCTTGAAAACCACTTGTTAATGATGATACCTTGATATAAAAGAAGGCTTGATGAACTAAAGTAATGAGATTGATGATGCCTTGGTATAAAAGAAGGCTTGAGGAATCAATGGAATGAAATTAGGGGATCGGGTGTCACGAACCGACACGTAGTATTAGGGGATCGGGTGTCACGAACCGACACGTAGAAATAGGGGATCGGGTGTTACAAACCGACACGTATAATTAGGGGATCGGGTGTCATGAACCGACACGTAGAATTAGGGGATCGGGCGTCACGAACCGACACGTAGAAATAGGGGATCGGGTGTCACAAACCGACACGTA